TGACAGGGTACGTGACCACCATACTGGAAGACGCCAAGATTTACTCCAGCCACGCCAAGAAGTCCAGCGTGGACGCGGACGACGTGAGGTTGGCCATCCAGTGCCGCACAGATCAGTCCTTCACCTCCCCACCCCCCAGAGATGTGAGTAGAACCGTGCTGGTCACAGCAGAGCGTGACCAAAGGCCTCAGTTGGGGACGTGACCGTGTCCCTCCCATCTCTCCAGTTCCTGTTGGACATTGCACGGCAGAAGAACCAGACGCCGTTGCCGCTGATCAAGCCGTATTCCGGCCCCCGGCTCCCACCCGACAGGTACTGCCTGACAGCTCCCAACTACAGGCTCAAGTCCCTGCAGAAGAAGGTAAGGGCTTTGGGCAGGGAAGGATTCTCCTAACGCCCGCGTTGTTTGTCAGGAATGTTCTTGGAATTCCAGCTTTCCATGCCTCTGAAGGATACGAGTGGGCAGGTGCTGACCTGTGCACGTCAGAGTGGTGTTTGGAGCTGGGCCGGTGGTCTTGAGGGGTTTGCAGGTGGCCTTACTGCTGGTGTCAAATGCACAGTCTGTTAAAAAACACGTCTGCGAGTCTTTTTAGCGTTAAAATTGCCAAAGATTGGGTTGTAAGAGGCAAAAGTGAGGCTTTAGCACGGATGTCAAAGGGTGTTTTGTGTTTACACCTCAGTCGTTTCTGCCTCGGAGGGAAAATTCTTCCTTTGCTCACTGGAAAACGCTGAATGTCTCCATGTGTAGGATTCCATGGCTGCTTCCCCCATTTTAAAGAATTTCAAATGTTGAGCTAAAGGTTCGATCCCAGCTACTGACAGGGGACGTGCCAGCGTCTGGCTGTCGGGTGGAAGAGTTGCTGATTGAAGTGCTCTGGTTGTTTTTTCCAGTAGAAACTGGCCCGGCTGACCCGGGTGCTGCTGGTCACATCAATCCTTGCCGATCTCCGGCACTGTGTCGCTCCCGGCGTTCCCACCACGCAGGGTTTGGGACCTTCTGCGCTGGAGCACAAACCATGTGTTACTGCTGGGAGACTGGCTCTTGTTGCGGGAAGAACTGCCTCTCTTTCCATCCGAAGGGCTGCAATTCCTCACGGGATACTAAGCCAGATGTCCTCTCTCAGCAGGTCTCCTCCTCTGCAGGAAGAATCACCGTCCCTCGCCTGAGCGTGGGTGCTGTGAGCAGCAGGCCCAGTACTCCCACTTTAGGTAGGAAACAGCCCAGATTGGCTTTCCCAGGTTGATTCTGTGAAGGAAAAAAATAATGAGGAGTAATTCCCAAAATGGTTCAACCACTGAGGACACGTTGGGTGCTGCCTGAGCTTGGTGTCATTTGACACCTTGACTAACAGCATCAGAAAGATTAATTTCAAAAAAGTTATTGTGGTCTTTGACCTTCTGTATTTTTATTCTTGTATTTGTGATAAATTTTGTGTGTGAAGAGACTGTTCCAGGAGTTTGCATGAGTTTGAGGGTTTTTCCCTCAGTGTAGGCACTACCCTGGACTAAACCAGCACCAAATCAAATCCCTTCCTCGGAGGTTGGCCAGCTGTGTGACCGAGCACGTGCGCTGACGTGTTAGTGGTGTGTTTGTAGCCTAAAATTTGGTGGTTCTTGGGTAAATGCACAGTTCTGCCTGAAAATCCGACTCCTCTATACCCAGCGTGAGCGTGTTCCTGTGTGTTCCCACTGCTTTGGAAAGAACAGGTTCTACTTTGAGAGCAAACTCACCAGGGCAAGTATTTTTTTATTTTAAATTGGTGTTTTGACCGAGTTGTTTTGGATTTCAGGGACACCTTCAGCACAAACAGTGTCTGTCTCAGCGAAGGTCGGCACGCCGGTGTCGCTGACGGGCCAGAGGTTCACCGTGCAGATCCCTTCTTCCCAGGCAGCCGTCAAGTCAGGTGGGACACAGGCCGTGGGGGCCAGCAGCACCGCTGGCGCTCAGAGCCTTCAGGGAATTAACTTGGAGTGATCACGTGGGGAATTAATTTGGAGTGATCATGTGGGGAATTACTTCACCCCTTCTGGTTTTTATCGTCGCTGATGGTTTGTGTTTCCTTATGTGAGGCAGGCAGTCCTCTTTCTGGTCATACCAGTAAGTTCCAGTTTCAATTGGTGTTCCGAGCACAGTGGTGTCAGGCAGAACATCCAGTGTTCCGGGCAGATTTCCCTTACACCTTTGCTGCCAGCTCCGTGCCCGCCCTGGTAGCGTTCTCCTCTTCTCCACATTGCTCTCGGGATCATCCCGGGGTTTTCAGCAGAACGTTCTAGTGTCACGCTGCTTCATTTGGTTGAAAGTTCTGTTTCAGTGTGGGAAAATCAACTTTTTTTTTTTTTTTTCAGGCTTTTCATTCAATGACATCTTTTTTTTTTTTTCCCAGCCACACCAACTACTCCAACAGTTCAGAATGTTCTGATTAATCCTTCGTTAATTGGCCCAAAGAACATCCTTATCACTACAAATATGGTGTCGTCGCAGAACACATCCAGTGAGTCAAACCCCCTGAAGAGGAAGCACGAGGATGACGACGACTACGATAATTTGTGAAGAGCCTTGTCCGATCCCCTTCCATTCCTCAGAGATTCCTTGAGTCTGCCAGGGGCTTTGCCCGGAGTACTGTGTGAATGGTGTGAGAGCGTGGAACTGGCGTGAGAGCGTGGAAATACTCTGCTGGGCGTGGGGTGAGGGAGAGAGCGTTGCCTGTGGAAGGGTGAAAAAGCAGCTGATGTTCTCCTGTGGCCCAGCATGTCTTGGACCCTCAGTGGCAGCGGCGAGCGCCGGTCACCGCCGCGCGGAGAGCAGCGTCCGTGTCCTTCCTGTCGCTTTTCCCTGGCAGACGTGTCCGTGTCTCTGCTGAGCCGGTGCTGGTAGTGCTCTCCTGTGCCAAGTAAAAATAATTTTCAGAAAACACTTGAGTGGTGTAACGTGGATCTTCATTTCAAATAACGTCGAAAACAGCGTCCTGGGTGAGGTGGGATGTAGCTGGGTGAGGAACATGGGCCTTTTTTTTCCCCTCCAGATACGTTTGCTGCTTCAAGGCTGTAGTTGCACACACTGCTCTCTGCGTGCAGCTCCAGCGGGCGTGAGGATCATCTCTTAGCAGGAGGAATGCAGATAAAAGGTGGAGGAGGGCTTTTCTGGAGAAGACACACTTCGGCTGAGCCCCAGTATCCCTTAATCTGTGGTTTCTGTTGTCCTTAACACCTGCACCAGTTAGAGAGGAGGGGAAATCCCAGCCAAGGTTTTTTCTTCATACGTTTCCAAGTTGCTGCACCTCTGTCAGTCGTGGTTAAATGCCTGTTGAATTGCGTGTCCCTGGCATCCTGGCACGCAGCGGGACGGGGCGAAGGGCCACCCGGGTGCTGCAGGAGCTCCTGGCGTGGAGCAGGAGCCTGAGTGTGCTCTGCTGGAGGGCTGAACATGTGTTTTTTTGGGGGGGTGGCAGGTATTTTACATATGTGTATGTATTTATACACATGCACATATATAATTGTGTTACACACTATTGAACTCTCCCAGACAGCTGTTCTTTACATATATAAACAGGGTGCATATCGACTACTTGGGAGTTAACTGTGTGCACACAAACACACTCAGCCACCCTTATATAGAAAATAAAAATATATACACATACATGTTTGTATAGGCACTTGTTCTTTTATATAGATACACAGATGTATTTACAGTCTCAGATGCATACAACATTTGACACTGAGTGTAACATCTTTTTTTTTTTGTATTATTACACACATCTACATGCTCACAGACACTATTCTTACATATATACTATTCAAATATATAAGTAGAAATAAAACTGTGTGATATCCTCACACATACACCCACTGAAAGTCTAAAAATAGTTACTATGTATTGAGCCATACATAAGCCTTTTCTTTCCATATAGCCATACATAACCCTATTTATCACACGTGCTAGATGAAGTGTCAGATAGGAAATGTTACATATTCTATCGTAATGCTGTGCGTTTTAT